GGGGTGTGTTCAGGACATTGTGAGCAATTGGTGATGAAAGAGGTGCTTGTTCTGTTGTTGACAGTTTCTTTTGCTTTTGGTGATGCAGTTCCTTGAGTTCCTTCATTTCAGTAAAACAGAGATAATGAGACTCACTTTTCTTCAGAGCTGTGTTTGAAGGTCTGTGAATGGAAAAACTCAATGCAGTTTGCAACCAGAATCACAAACTAGCATTGCCTTAGATTTCTTGATGTGGACAGGGTCGCTTTGGAAGTAAGTTATGATTTACCTTGATCCTGCCACCATTTCAAGCTTGTGAATGGCAAAAAATTGTGATAGCAAAACAGTTCTTAAGTTTTAGCACTTTGCTAGCTGAGAGTAGCTGGTAGCATTGGTGGAGGGCACTGTGAATTGTGCATTTGCAAAACGGAGATGACAAAGGTAATCTCGTTTATGACTGCCTTGGTGATGTCTTGTCTGTTGTCTTTGGGTTTATAGCCATACAGCATATTTGTTGGGTGACTGCAAAGAGACTCTTTCTCTCCCTCTCCTCACTTTTCAGGAGATGGCACACCACGAGTATGTGGTTGTGTGCTGCTCTAGGATCAGCTGAGTGCTGGTTTGCTCTGATTCCGTCTGCCTTTTGCCTCTTGCAGATTGCTTTCTTTCTCTGTGAATCTTACTCCCGACTATTTAAATTAAGCTTCATCTCCTATCACCTGGCAGAAAAATGTGAGGATTAATTAGTTAATATTTGTGCAATGCTTTGAAGATAACAAGTGCCATATAAAGTGCTAAGGATTTTCATGTGTTATTTTTTGCCCTCTCCTTTATAAGTCCCAGTAATAGTGTTTTTGTCTTCTTTTTATAGCATCTCCTATGTGCTTCTTGAGTAGGTGATACTTCTTTAAACTTCTTCAAAACCCAGTTTTTAGTGAGGGATTATGTGGCATGTGCTTTGCTCATGTCCTTAGCTTCTGAAGTCATCCAGATGTGCTTGTTCAGAAGTGATATCTGAAACATTATTTAATCAACAGGTTGTTTAATATATATTGCACCAATGCCTGGCTTGGAGAGGTTGAGCTTCACATTCATAATAAAGAGAAAGTTTTTTGTCAGCATTAGTAATTGATCCTATTATAGTCTGTTGTTAATTAGTAAATAGTTGCACAGGTTTTCTTTCACTAAGCATTTGAAAACCAGTGATAAACCATACAGTTAATTGGCTACACAGAGCCCTTAAGAACAACCTTTAATACAGACTATTATGCCTTTATCTTATGTTCCTTCAAACCCAGTGTTTAAGAACAATATGAACAGTAAAGTCTAGTCAAATTTTGACGTCTCCATGGTATTTTTTGCTGTCTTCTATATTTGGAAAGTGAACATAGCAAGCACCGTGTTAAGTGGAGTGCCTTGTTTGTAGCATTCTTAAGCCTGAGTTAAAGAATACCAAGACACCGTGTGTCAGGATTTTAATTTGCCTGCGTTTGTGAAGGTATGACACTTGCCCCTCACCGATGTGACTCACCACAATAAAATGTCAGCAGTGCTTGCTTTTTTTTATTCTTTGAATGGCTTGAGGTGAGAGTTAATTGATCTGGATTATATATAGAGTAAGAATGTGTTCTTACATGAGGCTCATGGGAAATGAACAGAAACCTGAGAAGTGTCCAATGGACGTGTCTGCAAATGTAAATCTTTTGAGCCAAAATAATGTTTTCTAATGCGGTCAGGCTCCAGTGCACAAGTTGTTGCTCTTCTAATGTGTCTGCTGGAGTGCTTCTCACCTGGCTATTGCAAGCTGCCGTAAGCCCAGGTGTTGCCGCTCCCCACTGAGACCATAGATGGCTTTTCTGATCGGTTGCAGATAATGTGCTCTGTGTTGGGGATCCTCAGCAGGTTGCAGTTTGGGAGCCCCTGTGGACGTGATTGGGAGAAGATGGTCTTGTGGTCCCAGTGGGATTGCAGGAGCTACTTCAGTTGTGACTCCTGAAGTCTGAGACCCAAGTGCTATTTTTTTTCTTCCCCTCCCATTCAAATAAATTCTTAGCAGGCTTCCTTGAGGTACCTTTGGGTAACAGACATAACCTGTCTCCTCTCATCCGGTTTGATGAAAACGTTTCTACAGCTATTTTAGATATTAATCATGAATGAAAACAGGGGACTGTCCTACTTATCACTATCCATCTTGGAAGGCATTTGTTACAAATGGCTCAGTGATCAAAGCAGTACAACCCTGAATGTAAATAGCAGCAGAGGGAGGGCTTGTGAGTGAAAAGCAAGCAATTATTGCACAAGGTCAAGAGTGGTTTGTATGATGAACAAGGAAGATAAAACATCTGCAGTCAAACTGTGATTCTTGTAAACAAGGGGGCTTTGGATTTGAACATCTTGTATTTTAAAGTGAGAACGAATTGGGAGGAAGGTAGCAAAAGAACTGTTTCTCTCTTGCACTTGCCTGGAGATTACTTAGACCTGGTATTTTCACCTGGCTGTGCCACCAGCTGATCTGCAGGTTTACCAACCTCCATCGCTGCAGTACAGAGATGTTCCTTCAAATCCACCTTCTGAACTTAAGCATGCACTTCACCACTGGGTTCATTTTGGGAAATGACTAAGAGAGGGAAAGTGAGATCTGATCTTGTTCTTGGGTTTTCTTGCCTGTTCCTTCCCCCCTTGCTCCCCATTTTAATGTAGCAGAGGAGACCCCTGGTTAGAATGTGAACTACTCCCCTCCTAAAGAAATTAAGTATGAAATTAAATTCAGTCATCTCCACTGCTGCTTGGAATTTTGAGGCAGGTTTGCTCTTCAGCTAGATTCCCATAAAATGCCTTGTCAGACACAATCTGTTTCATATGTACAGGGTCGCTCATTGATCATATTTACAGTGGGTTGAATGCTGTTGTCCCAAAATGAGAATGACATCAGTGGGCGGCTAAACTAAGACAGAAATCAAAGTCAATGTCTTGCTGAAAAATGGGCTTTTGAAATTATGGTCGAGTGTAAGACTGCATCCCTGCCAAGTAGCAGTTGTGCTAGAATCACTGTTGTTCGCATCAGCCCCAGCTATTTCTGATGAATATTGTGCAAATTGTCTACCTAATTATACATGTAAGTGTTAGTGTGCGCATAAAAATTGTATGTTGACATATGGATTCAGGCACCTAAGTGCTGTTTCAGCTGCATATCCATTTATATTTTTTATGCATAATTTGTGTCTAGGGAAATACAGTTTTTCAGGCTCTTGAGCTGGAAATAGGAGAAATGTACAGTGTTCTTCAATTTTTGATTTATATTTCCTTGTTTTTATAACCATGTGTTTTCATTGCCCTTGATTAAAAAAAAACCCCAAAAACCAAAACTAAACAAATAAAAAAAAAAAATTCTCCAGGCATGTTGCTTATCCTTAGCAAAAGACCATTCTGTCATGAAGCTTTTGTGGGGAGCAACTCATAAATTGAACTGGGTACTGTGGGAACAGCAGTTAAGCATTTATCACATTTAATTTGAATAATAAATGTAAAATATGAAAATACGTTCTTGGGGCTGCTTGAAAGATATTCCCTTTTTCCATCCTGAAATAAGATTCAGAGACGAGTGAAAACTTGAGAAATAAACTCTGCTTTCTCAGATCCTTGATGATTTTGAGAAAACACGGCCTGAGGGATGACCACATTTTTCAATAGTGTCGTTTCTGGAAGTATGATTAGCAAATAGTTATTTGCCTGTAACTCTTTTTGCCTCTGGGTTTCTGAAAGCTCAGATGTTTCTTGGGTACCAGTTCTAAGGGAGTGGGGTTGTGGAGTGTTCCACTGCTCTTTAACACTTGCATATATTCAGCAGCTCTGAAGGAATTGCTGGAGAGTGGGGAAAAAAATAAAAAGAAAATTAAACCTTTCTGACTGATCAGACTCTTCCACCTAGCTTGCAAGATTGTATGTTTAAATACATACGTTGATTTGAGGAGCAGAGGTAGAGCTAGAGCACATGTGGTTTTGTACCTTGTACTTGAATAGCAGTGTCTCTCAGCGGTTTTGAATTGACTGTCTTGAGGGTTTGAGTTCACTTATGTTTTACTTGAGAATCCTTCATGCATCTCAGATCAGACACTACAATCACATGACTGATGTGCGACCTACGCCATAAAAAATTCTGTGAAAATAAATTCAGATTGAGATCTTGAGCTGGGGAAAATCTGCAGACTAGAAGTGCTACCAGATTTGCATTTCATAGTCTGCTGTGTGTAGCCTGCCTTTTTTGAAGGTCTCTACCAAAGTTTCGTGCATCCAAGGTCGCCAGGTGACCGATGTGTTGGTTCTAGCTCACTGAGCCAGCCATGGATGAGGACCCGTTATGCTAGGCACTGTGTAAACACAGCATGAGATAAAATAGACCCTCCCTCAGTTTTATTGCAGTTTCTTGTCAGTGTCACTGTAACAGGGCAAGAGTGGCACAGATGTTACATGTGTTGGTCCTAATATGCCTTCTTCTTTAATGGGTACCAAGGTAGGTAGTAGCTTCTTAAGAAAAATGTTTGTGTTTCTTAACTTTTCAGCAGTGGTCGTGAATAGATTTAAAAGCTTTAGGATGCTTAAGTGAGGAGAGGGTTTAGCTTGTTTCTTATTTATAGAGTTCCATATGTGTGAATGTAGCACTTCCTGACGCATATGAAAAGAGGCTTCCTGCCCAGGAGGGACTGTCACCTTTCTTGACCTTTTCTTTATTTAATATGAGCTCATGTCCTCTTGTGCCCTGGATTTAAACAAGAAGCAGTGTGCTTGATCGGACAGTGCCTGGCTGATGAGCTCTCCTGCAAAATGTCTGAAGTAAATCTACCAGAGTCATATCTCACAATTAAAGTCATAGAGCACAGTACATGCAAATGAGCCTCATCTTTGCTGTTCCTTTGCCTGTGGGCTGTGCAGGAATATGGTTTTCTGTGAAGAACAGCAGTGTAACTGCTTCTATAGGATTCTTTCTTCTCATCCTCCTAACGTCACGCTGTTGCCGGAACTAGTGGCTATGGCCCTAGTGAGGCTGTAGCTGCTGGTTTGGTCGTCGCAGCATTGGCACTGGAGCAGGGCAAAGCAGCCCCGTGGCTGGGACTGGCGTCGGGTGAAAATGGCTACTTGGCATCGCTTGCTTTCAATGGAGCTGGTAGCGAAGGCGGAGGTTCTTTGGGAGGTTTAACGATAAATCAGCCTCTCATTTATTCCTGGGTAGGGTATTCATTAAT